TACATAATTGCATTTTCGGATAATCTTAGTAAGTAACAAAAAGAAGTAATTAAAAATTAGGTATTGGTTGATGATCTGTTGCAAAACTAACTTGTTGGAGCTAACTTCTTTTTACATCGAATAAAACTGCCTCCTTCTTGCTCCAAATTCTTCATTATAAAGAGTACAACCAAGAATAAACAAATTGTACAAAATTATGAATTAGATATGGAGAATGCAGTGTAGGAAATTACTATTAAATTAATAATTAATTAAATATCTACGATAAATAATGAATAGTTTAGTTTAGACTAAACAAGCTATTTTTGGAAGATTTAAAAAGGAATTTCAAATCGATTGGTGGAAAAAATAGTCGTAAAGTCGTAAAATTCCGTTTAATTCATTAAGGGCTAAATTATATATATACCAGTATATACCATAATTCAATATGTACCAAGACTAATTTCATCATGTGAAAAAATATCTTTTATACAATTGCATACGCTGGAAGAAGTACTAGGTACAATTCTTGGAATTCCATTTCGTAACTATAACGTTAAAAAGTGATTGAAAAAAATTGTAAAGGAAATGTTGCGTGTAATCATTTAAGAAAAAAAGAAAAAGAAAAAAGATGTTATTAAGGTAAAATGTTAAAAGTTGAAGGTTAATGAATTACCAAACAGGCCGATGGCGAATTGTATGAGCCCCAAAGCCATCGCCTTGTCCCGTGGATCCACGCACCGTAGGATCAACAGCATGGAGCCAACTTCGCTGGTCGAATGGATGAAAACGAACACCGAGAACAGGACCATATAAACCCAAAAGTTACTGCACTCGAGCTCGCAGTAACCGATCGTCGCGGTGCTGGCCATTTCCGGTGAAGTTAGATTCGACCCGATGCACTGGCAGTTGTAAAACTGAAAAGTCACGGAACCGGCGCGGTTAATATATGCAAAGTACACCGTGTGCAGATATTTTTACATCGGCAGTCTGCGAGTCTATTGCTTTTCCCAACGAACAATTACACTGCCCTTGTTTCGATAAAACAGGGAAGAAAATAACTCGTTTGGATAATTAATTGAATCATCTTGTGAACGATCTGTCAATCGATGGTTCGCGCGCAGTTGCGTCTAACTCCTGAGCGACTTCAGATCACTTTACATTTTCGTGCGAATATTAGTCAAAGAAACAAGCGAGCAACAGACTAATTTCAGAATGGACGCTCGTGCGCTCTCGGCTCTTAATTGCGCGAACAATCGGATCGGCCGGCGCGAAATCCGAACAACTGGAAATGAAATGCTCGCGGCGAAAGCACGTTTCAATTGCGAAAGTAATGACTTGCGCAGTTGCGTGATAATGAAGCATTGTTTCGTTCGGGCGAATAATGCGATTTCGTCCGTAAATGGTGGAACAACGAAACATCTCTAGCCTAGTTGCACGCCACTGTCACCGACAATTATACGGCCGCGCAACTATTTGCCTGATGCGTCAAGTTAATATATCAATATTCTCGCGAGATGATGTCACCGGCCTCTGCATAATCAGGAGAATGCAATCAGTGCGTGGACTGGCGAAGAAGTTGTTCGATTTGAATCGTGACCACGTATCGGCGTAACGAGACGATAAAATCGGTATCTTACGATTGGTTGAGATTAGTAATAGATTGTATATTTGAAGGATGAGGGGACAAAAATGTCATAAAATGGCTTTATTGAGAATTGAATTATATTATTTCAGTCTTTATTGGAAGATTTGGAAATAAAAGAGATCATTGCTTATATTAGAAGAGACTTGAGAAATGAATATTTGAATTGAATTTTAATGAGTACTCGATTAAACGACCTCTTGCTGGTTGAACCTGAACTCTCATTGTATTATATGGACTCCAATTCATATAATATAAATCATTTATCCCTCAACAATTGCGCGCGAACGAAATTTTACTATAATGTTATTTTAGTTCTCGAAAAACTTGACAAATAAATCAATATTGTTTTAATTTATTAGAAGACTGGAATTTAGTTTACTAGAAAATTATCGTTAGAAATGAAAGATCTAGAGAAATTAATATTATTTCTAGTAGTTAATTTTAAAACTTAATTCTCGTAACATTTCTTGTTTTTTTTTTCATTTACTCTTCGTACATTATAATAAATTGATAATTACAATAGCTATTGGAAAAGACGAAAATTACCGTGGATAGCTTCTAACATTCACAATAAATGTCGACGACGATGAACTTTCGTGGTACTCACCGAAGCTACCTTGCCATCGACGATCGTGTAGTTGGAGCAGCCCGCGTGGCACGCGGAAAAATACGTTTTCCCATCGACGCCGCAAATCGGGCTGAACTTGTTTCGAACGCAGTCGCAGGTAGCCTCGCAGGTCGGCTCGAAGCTGGACAATCTGAAAACATTTTTGTCGTTTAATTACAATATTCTTCCGACAAAATCTGTGCAAAATCGGCCTCTTTATTTCAGTTTAAACATCCAACGATCGAAATTACAAAAGCTCCCATTTAGGGCAATTGATGCAAACGACACAGTAAAAAGTAAATACAATTCACTGCGGAGAGAAGAGAGAGAGAGAGAGAGAGAGAGAGAGA